AAGAGGCCGCGTGCGTCGGCGCGTCCACCTGCGTCGACCGGAATACCTGCGTTTCTTCCGTCTTGTCTTCATCTTGAGGTCCCACCGGGCGAAGACGGATGGCGCCGCGGCTTTAATCCTGGTCATGGCAGCAGCGTCGTGGCAGATGAAGTCCGAGTCATCGGCGTAGGCGACCGTGTGGGCGAGTAGGTTGTCCTCCTCGCCGAGCGTCTGCGCGAGGTCCTTGAGCGCGGCGTCGAGATACACAATGAACAGCGCTGGGGACAACGAGTCGCCTTGTGGCGTGCCGATGTTGGTCTCGAACGAGCAAGCATTTACCGGTGAAAAAGATGATGGGCAGCGTCGTTTTTGGCTCCTTTCACTGGCATTCGCGTTAGCAGCAGTAGACTTTAGTGCGAAGCTTGCGATGTGTCGAGTTTTTGGTCCGGTAGTCTGCGCCAAACTTTGGCCGCCGTCTGCTAGCATTACCTCTGAGATTTGATGTACCAACGGCAATATCAGATGTAGAGGGTTGTGACGTGGCGCTTGGACATGCAAACGACTCGCGTCCGGGTTCCACATACATAGGCTTATTGGCATCGCAGTGGCGATGCCTCGGTAGATCTCGCAGAGGGCTTGAGTGCGTTCAAGACTTATGAACCGTCGACACCGCTGGCCACCTTGATGCTCTTCTCGGACGCACTGCAGCACAGAGGCTGCGATGTCGTCAAAGGCAGTGGGACAGGCGGCTCCGAGAGCTATAGTATCTGTGCTACAGGTTTTTATTGCGCATGGTAATTCGGATGTCTACTGGGCTTGACGTTCACCTGCGCTTGGAGTGATAAGGCATCGGTACTGAGGACATTTGTGCCGAGTGCAGCGCGAACTACTGCTCTTTTGTCTCACACAAGTCAGGCATACATGCATCACGTTGTTGCCGACAAGGTAAATCGTCTGAGACAACTGCACTGCAAACAGTAGCTAGATGGTATAGAGCCGCGGTTATTATACCTCCCCGTCTGTCTCTCGCATGGATCCCCAACCCTAGTATATCACTGGGGCTAGGGGATATATCCGAGAGACACTCTTTGAGATACACGGCAGCATCTGCGGCAGCATTGCTCTATACAAGCTACGACATGTACAGGCAGGCTGTACAGGCGGTGTATGCGAGCGGTTTGTCTATTGCGGTTTAGGGTTATGAGAACGGCCGAAACGCTACGGCTCCATAACTCTTCCACCCATGCACATGTGGACTTCGGCAACGTGATGCATTGCTTATAGTCGGTTTCAAGTTAACATCCTCCCATGGTGCAGACATACTGCTGTACCTCGTGGTAAAATGCAGTGTTGGCGTTGGAGCTAAATAATGTATAGCGCCCAATCCCAGGTCTAACAGCTCAATATGATAGCAGGTCATAAAGAAATTTTATGGCCTTGATGATAGCGACCTGATATACGGCCCGATCACACCAGAGGGCCATTAATTTGGCTTGGATCACGTGGGCCTTAGGTTATCTATGGCCACTTACACAAGCATGTCGGGCAGAATACCAGAGGTGGGGCAGTAACAGAAGCGAAACTTTCATAGAAAAGCGCGTTGAGGCGAAATGGCAAATGGCTCTACGCTCCTTCCATCGTTCCTACCCTGTACTGCAGGTACATAGGATTAAAACAGACTGGATTACACAAGATACCAAGTCCGATCATATCCTGACTCTGCTGCAGGTGTCGTGTACTCCACGGCACTGCTCGCGCAGGCACACATGCGGATGCACCCGCTGATGCGCCCAATGGCGATGGAAAGAAATAATTCCTTAATGTCGTTTAGAGTACATGTTTCGATACCCTTGTCCCCTCGTTTGCGTGGACAACATTGATCACATTGACAATGATCACAAGGTGATGGAGCAGCCTTTGTGACGCACGAGACCGGTGAGCCTGGACTACAGTAGAGTACTTGTACAGTAAGCACCTGCCAGTTGCGACACGAACTCGAACTGCACTGCACGATCAGTTTGCGGGATGCTATCAGCCACACACGCCAGCGCTGCTACCAGATCCAGCGCCACCAGATGTGGATCTTGGTCCTGTGACGCTGGCCTCATAAGCACTGCGATCTCTCTCCTTTCTCATTTTCTCCAGCCCATTGGCTCAATAAGCGGTAAATATCGTGTTTATAGAGCCCATAGTACAGTATAAGGGCAGCGCACAAACTTGTGCTCTTCTCGAGCGTCGAAATCGCTCAACGTGTGGCTATAGACGACTTTACCCAGATGTTTTTAGTGCCTTCCTGTCCTGGATCCGTGGCCTCTTACGAAGAGCCTCCACCAAGAGGTGCGAATATTTGGGAACCAATACGAACCCGCGACTCGTCCATGCGTCCCTTTCGATATTAGAAAAAGGTCCATCCATACCTAAGTAAGCTGTTTTCATACCGATTGTTAACCAGGCTCTCACTCGACAAGTGAGAACACTACACCATCTGCTATCCTGTTGCAAACTCTACGGTAGACGGAGCACGAACCACGAAATCGTCGCCAAACGCTCATTTTCAAATTTGCTCTCCACCATGAAGGTCCAGTTCTCCATCGCCATGTGCCTTACGCTCCTCGCCGCTGCTTCGGCGACGCACGCCAACTGCGACATGGATCCGGCGACCAAGGCTCCGACGCCGTCCGTGACGCCTCTGCCGTCGTCCGCAACGCCCTCGGTGGTGCCGACGACGAGCGCGCCAGCGACCACTTGCGGCAACTGCAAGAATTGCTACTCCCCGAGCAACGGCCTTTGCCACGCCGACTGGACGCTCGCCAACTGCAATGCGAACCCGCACTACGTCTGGTGTGGTGAGCCCGGCTACTGCGGCACGTGCCGCGGATGCCAAACGGCGTCTGGATGCATCGCTAACTGGAAAAAGACCGAGTGCGACGCCCACATGGCCAACGGCTTTGTCTGGTGCGGTGCCAATTAGATTGCATGAACGACATTCGCAACCTCGCTAACAAAGAAGTAAGTACTTTTAACTTGTCCATTCGAAGCGCCGTCGGTGGCTGCATCTCGCACGGCCAAGCTCATGCTCCGTTTTGACCATTAACCCTGCGCATCAAAGACAGATCGTCGATCCCATACACTTGTCGCCCCGTCTAACCCCCGCGCAAGGATAAACAACCGCTTCTCGCCATACATCCCGAGCTCGCCGTGCCCAAAAAACTTGATGCGAGTGTCGACAACTCTAGCTTCTGGCTTTCGTCCACAGGCATGTGTGTCGAGGCCTGGCGCCATGAGGAGCATCCTCATGCATCCAGGGTTTACGCCCAGCAAGCTGATACTTTCCAGTGCTAGTGCCGAGAAGTGTCCGTCTTTGCAATGAGAAGCCAGTCGCACAACACGTGCTGTTGCCAATCAAACATGGCAGCGTGTCATTCTTGTCTACCGTTCGTTGATGGAAGTCGTTGGTCAACCATGTTTCGGAGCCCATGTGGTACACTCTTCGAAGCGATTGAAGCTTGGATATAGACGACGTAGACAGACTGCATCCTCACGACAGCCTTGCCGAGTCGGAAGCCTGCTCCTCTTCGCGCTGCCCCCAAATGGCCAGTGACGCTACATGTGGGAGAGGCCACGTCATATCCTCGCAAAAAGGTGCATGTTTCCAGAAAAACGCACCCACTGGTCTGTGATTGGCCGACGTCCAGAGTGCTTTTGACGTCGCATGAATCGCCTCCTGCAGACGTTCGTCACCCCGGAGGCCAAGCCCCCGATGCCGAGCAAGCCGCCCATGGCGATCAGCATCCCCGCGCCCGTGGGCGTCGACGACGGTCAGTACGAGGAGCTCGACCTCGACGACATTGGCTCGAGCGGCAACCACACTGCCGAGTTCTTCTCCATGCAGTCCAAGAGCCCGATCATCCGCTCCATGGGGCGGTCCTTCGACCACGGCCAGCCCGAGAGCAGCTCGTATGGCCCGCGCTCCAACGAGTCGGCCGCATCGCTCCGGTCGCAGACCGCGTCAGCGCTCTTTGGCTCGCCGTCCACGAACCTCAGCACGCAGGCGTCGTATGGCTCGTCGTCGTCGCTGACGTCGTCCGCCGCCTCGCTCTTTGAGCACGAGGCCCCTGCTGGCGCATTTGGCGCCCACGGACACTGCTTTGAGCAACCGCCGTACCATGCACAGACCGCGCCGCAGGAGGTCGCCGAGCGCTTTGGACCGTCGTCTCACGAGCCGCCACAAGAAACTCCATACTTTGCGCCAGCCACTACGGCGCCTGGTCCGTTCTCGCCGCCAAGGGAGCGGCGTCCCTCTTTGGCGACGCGTCGCCGTCCGACCCGTTCGCTCAGCGTTCCAGCCGCC